TTATGCGAACACCATAAGGAAAATTTTTTTTTGTAAATTTAAAATTGTGAAAATTTTAAGATTTTTTTCAAATGATATAAATGTAGCATTTTTTATGATGATATATTTGTTAATAAAAAAGATATGATAATAAATTTGAAGTAAATGTTTATTTAAAATAATAAACTTGAGCGTAAAAACGCTATAGTGAGGTAAGAAAAAGCATTAAATAACCTACAGTTGCTCAAATAATTATTTCTTAAGATACGACGTCATAAGAGAAGCGATCGAATAAGTCATTCGATTCGGGTCATTTTCAATAGCGTTCGTCCTTGAGCCTTGGTTCATCAAAATATTTCAAAAATTTGCGCCCTGCGAAAAAACAAGACAGAAAGGCGGACAGACAAGCTTAGATCGGTTCAGAAAGTGATTCTCAATCGACCGGTATAATCTTTGGTCCCACTGAGCGTTGTGTACATCCGTTAATGTATCCTGACGCCATCAGCGGTGTAGGCAACAAAGCAACTTTAAAAACGTGCAAAATGGGTGCGATTCTCCCGTAACAAATGGCTTGCAATAGAAAAAGAAATCTGTAACTAGCATCCTTTTACCTTTTGATCTACACATGATACAAACTATTTTTATCTTCAGCCAAAAGGTTAGTGTAAAAATATTTCGAATAAATCGATTGCTATTTTTTTTCTTTCAAGTAGATGTCTCTGCAAGTTTAACGTGCACTCTTGTCGTAAAGCCTCATACATACAATTGAGTGACTCCCCTCGGATTCCATTTAGAAACTCCTTCTTTCTTTGTATCAAGGACACAATTGAAATGCAACCTTGCCCGGTGTTTTGCACTTCCAAAATAATAACTTAATAATAACGTGGACGCATGCGCTATGACAAATATAATATTGCTTCTTACTCTCGCTACTAAAGCCATGCATGGTTCAAGCAAATTGAAAAATATATTACTTTTGCCGATTCAATTTTTCGATTACAAGCATTTTATTGTAGGATAAGTTATATATTTACTTAGCTTTCTCGATTGTTACGGATGTATATTTAATGCATGCCGCCCATAACCATAACTTCTTAATCAGCCATCAATTAAAAGCATATATGACGAATTTCTTTTTCTTTTTTTGTATGATAAAGAAGCGATGAAAGAGAAAGCGATAAGAGTTTGTTGGCGCAGGTTATCATAGCCTTTACCAACTGACCACACTCACTATAGCTACGACCAATGTCTACCGGATTTGAGATTTGAAAAGCTTAGTAGACGTGGTTCTTATCGACTCGGCTACACTGAACTTTATCGAGGGGTGAAACAAACTGCTGGGGAGAGAAGTGAACAGCGCCAACTGCCTACACCTAGATCAAGCTGATATATTACGCTAATCAAGACATAATCTCTTACTACTATTTCTGATATGTTTCAAGTGCAATAATAAGCGTACTATAAGCCATTGTCTTCCTAGAGTATAACTATAATGAGTAAAAGTTGAAGAGATTTCCAAACAATTGCAAGTTTTTACAATATCCACAGGTATTACAGCGAATAGTTGATTGTGTTCATTTTCTTTCCATGCTAAACTAAAAGAATGCAAACTTTTGTAATAATTTATAAAAAGTTTCTATAAATAAACTTTTTTTATGGATAAACTTTCATGTTCTTTTTCAAGAGGATCTAAAAACATTCATACAAATTACAATACAAAATTTTAAATATTTTTTTTTTTTTTTTTTTTTTAAGTTTTTCATCCATTTGCAATACAAACGTCGTAATGGACGCAGTGAAATTTTTTTCATATAAAGTACTAAACAAACGGGTCAAAGTCGTTATTAAAAAAAGCGATACGATTTTATTTTTAGAACATTTTTCGTACATTTAGTAAATGAAAATATAATTTTACAAAAATTATTTAAAAATAAATTTGCGAATTTTATACTTATCATTCAAATGTTGCAGGTATATACATTTCTTTTAAATTTTTGCTATGCTCAAAAAAAAAGCTTCTGCAACTCTCTCGATCAGTATTAAATTATGGATCGATTTAGGCGGGGCTATCCATCTGCCTGTGTACGTGATAAACATTCGTCGCTGGCAAAAAAAAATTTAGGTCATTTTTTTGAAGTTTGACAGAAACAGTGAAAGTGTTTGCGACCATGTTGGTATTAAAAATGGTCCAAATTGATCAAAGAACCTAACTGTAGTACCGCATAAACTGAGAAGACGTTTCTTGCTTTCAAAAACAAAAAAGTTGCGAGTTTTTGCTAACCTATAGTAGATGCAACGGTATAAATTCTAGCATGTATTCTACAGGGGACGCTGCACGGTCTGTACGAATATGAAAAAAAAACCAAAACAATAAACGAATTATGGTGAGTAAAAAAGATTCGACTGCAATCGATTATGAGTTTCTTGTCTCTTCGTTTTATACATTACACCATTTGTGGTGCAAGGATATATTAAATTTTTGCGGATGGATGCATTACCCAGAAGAGCTTCAGATAGACTCACCTTTTCAAATAATAAGATTGTCCGTCCGTATTATTTTCTTGTATTCAATCTCTACGTCACAATTTGTGAAATATTTTAATGAAGTTCGGTAGACCGACAGGTTTCATTCTAAGAGCGAACGCTGTTGACAATGTTTCGGATCGGACCACTTTTCGGCCAATTTTCATAATTTGACTTATTTTAAATTTTGTCGTTATATGAATAATTGTATTGACCGAAATGATGTAGGGTATTTAATGACGGGCCGTGGCCCACTATATTGTTTTTATTTGCTATTGTATTCGCTTTCTATTTTAAGTCATTTAAATAATAATGAATCATGTTGATGAGAAATTTTTAGAAAGAATATTGATGTTCTTCTGTGTATAGATGTGCAAGTGGAAAAACAACGGCAAATGATGCCTTATACTTGCGGTCCTGAAACTTTTCAACAAAGTAAGTAATTGAATTTATAAAGTTCCGGTGCATACATTTTTTTTTTTTTTTTTTTTTTTGTTTTTTAATTATAAATAAACAACAGCAAAACAATGGTGAGATAATTTTTTTTATTTTTTTCATAGGAAATGATATTCTCAAAAATAAACGAATTTTTTTAATGTTTTTTTTTTTTTTTTTTTATTATTGTGACACTAACAAAAAATAAATGCTTAACGAAATTCCGGCAACCAGTGTTGGCAATCCACTTCAACATTCTAAGATTTATGATTCGAAAGCGAAGATTTTTAGTTGCGAGAACCAATTGTAGCTAGAATAACAGGAAGCAGAAATTGTTGCCAAAGTTGAAGACAAAACGTCCGCAACACGCCGATATGGCAAAGCGTTTGTAGCAATGTTGAAGAATGGATAGTTTGAGGTTATATTTTTTTTTTATCGTTGGCCAACAACTAAAAAAGTTACTTAAAAAAAGGAAGAGGCATAGTGTCCTATGTTTAACTTAAAAGGGCTAATATCTGAAATGTCTACAAAATCCACCAAAACCAGGTAACACTGCGAAGGCATAAAGAGTTGCAATAATCAGTTGTGCGATATACGAACAACTCCAGAATTAGAAAAAAATTGAGTAATCAGGCTTGTCAAACACCAAAGCGAAGATTTTTTTAGCAGAAAAGAGAAATTGCAGCCAAAATTGAAACCAAAACGTCCACAGTACGCAGATATGGCAGAGTAATGTAATAATGTAGTAATGTTGAATAACGAATAGTTTGAGGTTATATTTCTTTTTATCGTTGGCCAACAACTCAAAAGGGCATAAGGCCTGTGTTCAACTCGAAAGGGGTAATTTCAGACATCTCGCCAAAATCCACTACGAGTTGTAGTCGTTCCAAAACCAAGTCAAGGCATAGAGAGTTGCAATAGTGACTTGTACGATATGTGAGAACATCAAAAATTAGAAAAAAATGAGTAATCAGACTTTTTAAAAACCTTAATTGGTGAATAAATCTTTTTTGACCCTGGACATTCTAATATCTAAGCATAACTCACACTGCGCCGCTTCTTCTGAATATTGAAGACATTTAGCACACTCCCGACACCGATTGAACGCATGCGCCCATCCTTATTGATGCGGCCGAATAAGCCGCAATAGAGTGCCTCTAGATAAGGCCGGGAAAGTTCGGCTCTTATGTTTAAGCGTTTATGAGAAAATGCACAACAATTGCGACTAATAACAGTTTGTTTTCAAAATTTTTTAATAATTGATGAATAGGAACCGCATAAACCGACAAAAAAAGACTGCACAAAAACAAGTTTGATCGAACATATAAAATATCATAACGACATATAGTTGTTTGAAGCCATATGTTAAGAAAAAAAGGTGTAGCTTCTACGCTGATCTCTTTTTCATCTTTCCTGTCTTACGCGCAAAATGTTCAGTTCCTCACTGGGAATGTGGAGTGAACCTAAAAGCCCGTGGGCGACAAGTTCCATTCTTGTTTTTTTACGTTCATATGTATGCTGAGATTCCTATTTTAGACAAATGGACAAATGAATGGAAATCTGAAGCGGATTTAAACCTCTCAAAACTCTCTGATCGGGACTACATACAGTTTATGAAATCTTCGAGACATATGCTTTACAATTATATCGCAAATCTTTCTTAATCAGCGTAAATGGCACAATTGGTTAAACCCTGTACGTTAAGCTCAATTTTAAAATTTTAAGACATTGGAAAAAACCAATGTTTTCTTATCACTTCTCCAATCCACTTTCTTAAAATCACCGAACCAAGGCACAAAATTCCCAGTGCTGGCAGAATGCTAATAAATCGTATAAAAATATAATGCCTTCTACGGTATGAACGTTGCGACATACAATCGCAATATCGTAATATTGAAATAATAAATCTTCTCTCTCACTTGCATGCAATTATTGTACATAAGTCAGCGTTAGGTATTTAAAGATTGGTCTCAATTGGATATTTTTCGCTTGTTGTTTGTCGTTTTTTTTTTTTTTTTTTTAATTAACTTTTTAATATGCAATCTTTTTTGTTCGATATGTACCTGTTGTTTGTTTTTTGAACAATAATAGACGAAAGTATAGTAAAGTAAAATGTCCACTACATTGTATCGCTGCGAGTGTACTAAATTTCATTAAATGTCAAATAAGCAAGAAACCAGTTTTGTAGCCGCCACTTTATATGGAGAAAAATTCAATAACTGGCCCGGTTGAGTTCATTTTGAACACACTGTTGTCCTCTTTCTAAAAGACATCTATTTTACGTTTGTCCATACCGCTAAGATTAACCGAAGAAAAGACAACAACAACAACAACAACAACAACATTAATAACTGCAATAAAAAAGCAAAGAAAACGTAAGGCAATCATCTAAACGGCCTTAAATCAAGAATTATCTATCAATAGAGAAAAAAGCTTTTAAATCATATGTTTATGTTATGCGATAACTATAAAAACCAAATAGTTTTTATGGCTCGTTTCTCTTCCAAGTGATGGGGATAAAAATAAAAATACTTTTAAATGAGGATAAGTGCATCTAATATATTCAAATTGTTGCCGTTTTAGCTAAACTAGATGAAACTAAACATAACCTCACAAGAGTAAAACCAAGAATTTATTATGAAGTCTTAATATTCGAAGTAAACTTTTAAGATTACTACCATAAGTTGTCTTACGAATATATATACGGTTTGCTAGTGTAGAGCGATACCTTGCTTGCTTAATATTTAATTATCCCAACTAGTGTGCATGTGTCATGTCATTCCTTGGGGCAAACCATCGGAGAGATCCTAAACTTTCAAAATAACTGAGTTAGTGCAAAAAACAGTTTACTTCCTAGGCGTTCAAAAAAAAAAAAAAAAAAAAAAAAGATTCTGACTTGTTAGGATTAATTGGAGTAAGTCAACAAGAAATGTGATCTATATATCCATTCCTTAAAGAAAAATGTTTGCTTTTTTTGCAAATTCTTGTTTTTGTGACTTTCACCACAGATGACAGTTCACATACTTATTATATTCGCATTGGGATGTAGCTTATATGATAGAGCGCTCGCTTAGCATGCGATTTCATTTTGTAAGAAAAAAAAAATTTTCTACGGTGGAGGAAAGAAAATTTATTGAAAATATTGTCCATAGTTAGCAACACATTTTTTCTATCGTGCTGATAGAATATGATTTCCGTTCCGCAAAGACATTTATCTTTTTGAAACGTAACCACAAGAGCCTATTTCTGGAGTACCGTCATAAAAATGGAAGTGCTGCTCAGAGATACAGTAAGTGAGCAGTGTTTGGCATCAGTTGTTTTTGGTAAAGTTCCACAGTGACGGTTTACTTTGGCTGGAACGGCTTCTAATACACTTCATTCAAAAACGCAGCGCGGTATATATTCGATTTTAATGATTATTTGTTCTTTGAATATCGTAAGGCGTTCACTGTTTATCTCTTGTTACAACTGAGTAGCGTTATTTTTCAAATTAAACAGAAAACGTCCCGCTTGTCATATTTGCAATTTTCTTCTCTATTCTCTGTTACGTGCACTTCAACTATGTAACTTATACAGTGGCTTAAATTTCAGAAATTAACATAAGCAAAAATCATCGTCTGATAATAGGTACGAGACAAAGTGATGGTCACCTACCTGGTCTTTGGAAAAAATAATAAAAACCAATTTTGAATACTTGAAAATCTAAAGCAACGATAGAAACAACAAAGCTTTAATTAAGTAATTTAAGCAACCAAGTAGCCAAAGTTTATTCTTCTCCGAATTTCTTAAACACCCAACATAGGCTAAGTGAAATATTTATGAACCGTTACAAATTTGTAAACGAAAAAATGTTGTTCTTTCTTAAAATATTCTCTCCTTTAAATTGAATTCATTTCTTCAAAGGCTCTCTAATTCCAATTCATTTGCTTGCGAAAGTAACTTTCATCAACGGCACTTATGTAAGCAAGTATTGCTATTATTTCTTAATTTGAAGAAAAACACCTAATATTCGGAATTTTTTTCTCTTAAACCCATTAATGTAAGCAGATTTATTTTTTCCATTAGAATAATATCTATGTGATCACTTTCGAATAGGAGTTTATTTTTTCTTCCTCATATTTCTATGCAATTGATCAAAATAGCTTCAATAAGATTCCATTCTGGTATTGTTTCCTGCCGTAAAAAGAGAAAATGATGGCAGCAATCTTTGTTAACTACTCAAGAGTCGAACAAGTTGAGTTCACTTTAAAATTATTCTTTTTCCGAAACTAAGGGTCTTTTCAGCTTTGCAAACGCAGCTCATCGATCCTTGCGAAGACTTCTTATTTTTTTCGAAGAAATTCGAAAGTTTTACTCACAACGCATTTTGATCAGGTATAAGACACATAATATAAGGCTTTTTATGATTTTTTAGATTTAACCTAGTGATAGCCAGAAAGAAGTGGAGAAAGATACCATTATCCAGATTGGAAATTTTATATATAAAATGTCACTCAATAAACTCATAGGAGCAGGATGAAGAGTGTTTTTTGTCATTTCGTCATTCAAACGCCTCATTTAATGCTCACTTCGACCCTTCTCAAGTTAAGCAATGATGATTACACTACGACCATACCACAGGACAGATGCCATAATCTTTCCAGTCAATTCTTTTAATGTGATCAACGCCTCAGGGTGTAAAGGAGTGAGAAAGGTGAAAGAGAAAAGGAGATGGTTGCGGTGGCAGCCTAGTGGGTGTGGACCCAATCGGCAAGGTTTATACTTTTACCGACTACCGAGTATTTACATAGCTGGAACCAAGTACAGTCTACCGCACAGACATTTCAAACCGCAAGCAGTGACTTGGTAGCCAGGTTGAAACCTTTTTGTCAGACATTTGTTCACTTTAAAAAATCCCGATAGAGAGAGGGAGAGAGAGAGAGAGAGAGAGGGAAGGAGAGAAAATCTTAGCAATTTTCCTTCTGAACTAGTCCTCAATCATCATTTCATTTGCAAAATTGATTTCATTACTCATTAGCATACACACAGATTGCATATGGCAGTGGAAAAGGCAAATGTTTAGTAAACTCTCTCTCTCATATCCTTTTTGATGACAACACTTTGTTTAATACTTTTTTAATTTTAAAAACTAACGTTAATCCTCTCGGTTAACTTCTTTTTTTGGGTTTTCGCACGAATGAATTGATGGTATGAGTTAAAAAACTAAATGAATGTGTGTGTATTCATCGGGTAAAGGAATAAACTTCCAAATATGGTAGACTATAGTTTTTATTTTTATTCTTCTATGAGAATTCTGCACACTGCAAAAAGTTTTCAATTAAGCATTCATTCATTCCTTTTTTCACTTTTACAATAGCAAACAAACATTCAGTGCTAGTAAGAAGAAATGATTTTATTTAAATTAAGGGAATCTTTGTTATCCACTATACATTTGCATGATTCCTCTATTGCCGTCACATACGCTATGCCCGTCGGACTAACGAATTTGAGTTAGCTGCGAGATATAAGCGACTATTAAAAGAAGCTTAGCGACCGATGCTGTAAGATAAATATAATATATTTCCTTTTTTCTTTTTGAGGTTTTTTTTTACGATTTAAAGGATAGGAAGGAAACGTACACATATGCATATATAAGTGTATACATGCATATATATATATGTGTAGATGCATTAGGGTTTGTGAGCAAATGTAACTTTTACGGCATGCGAAAAAAACAATGTCTTTAGGCTGTCTACACATTATAAAATAGTTATACGAAATACCTAAAGCGAATGCTGTACCAAAGATATAAAACAACATTTTCCCCTTTAAATTGAAAGAAATCTGCTCCTGCATAATGTTCAACTATGAAAAAGTAGATCCGATGATGCTTTGGTGCAGGCGAGGATAAAGTCAAAGAATATCCTTAGCACTCTCATTTAGGAGAAGAGCTTTAATGCGTGGTAAATTATGAACAGTACGTGGGCCAATCTAAAAGCAAAAACCTCCGACGGCTTCATTTTTTGGGCGCACATTTCAAAACTCATCTTGGAGAAATAAGTTGCCCTTAACTTGAACGCTTGGAATCACAGGCATTGCTCCTCTGGATTCACGTATGTTTTTCAGTTGATAACTGATTGTCAGCGGGAGCAGTGTGAGCAGAGTGAGTCCTTTTGGATTCGATAGTCTACAACTGTTCCCTTCCCAAGCTTCTACGCTCATAACTCCCTCAGGTATCATTTGAAAAAGGTATATATAGGTATCTAATGCAGATTCCACGAAGGAAAGGTCCCTTCATATTCTGTGCGATTAAGCGGCCATCTGCGGGATAAGAAGCCAGGTGTTTGACGAACATTTTATAACGCCGACCAACGTATGCAGTTGCGAACCTAAAATTCATACGGATTTTAAAGCTGGAGAAGTTATGGTCACAAGCGAATACAATGGACTTTTTAGGTCGCAGTGCGGACTGTTCACCGCATTACAAAATGCAACTTGTTTCCTTAACATATGCCTATGCAAAATGAGTTTTTTTCGGCACGGAATTCATATTTTTACAAAAAGATAGAAAAAATGTTTAGCTGCTCATGGACAATTCTTTGAATAAAGGTTTTTTTGTTTTTCCTTTACGTTCTTTTAAAATAAACGCTTTCTTTCATGGAAAAAAATCAATAAGGAGCTATTTGTTTTCGCCGGGCATGTACATATATATATATATATATATATATATATATATATATATAGCGATATCTCTATATATTACCACATGGTCATGTATATACATATATAAAAGTAATAGACATTGTTGTCCGCTATCGGGAACAATATAACAATACAAACATAGTGAGGTCATGTTATTTTAATTTTTGTTCCTTTTCTTTTTCTATTTAAGCACGAAATATTGCAATAAAAAATTTTCAAACGAAAAAAAACGCAAAAAAAAACAAAAGCAAAAACATGTAAATATTTGCAAATATGTCTACGTATGTATGTATGCACATTTATGTTCTGACTAGAAATAAAGATTTGACTATTATTTGACTTTTTTTTTTATGGGTAGGACGATCCGTTGTCTGCCTCTATCTTTGAATTTTTGTAAAAAAAAAAAAACAAAAAAAAGTACATGAATAATGTCTTAAATTGTTGTTGTTCGATGATGATGTCTTCATAAAAAGATGTAATAAACTATTTTTCTTTTTCTTTGCATACTTGTGTATATTAAACAAAATCCACCTTCCTTCCTTTTATATGAAGAATAGAAGACGACACACACTCTTTGCCGCGTCTATATCGTCGTCTTTCCATAAAGTTTTGCTTTGCTTTGCTTTTCTTTGCTCTGCACTGCTCGGCTGTTAAAAAATTTTTCTTTAATGATTTATTTAATGTTTGTTTGTTGCGGTTATAAAAGAAAGAAAAATGTCACATTTTTGTGTGTTCTTGTTGTTGTTGTCTTTTTTATTTATTTTTTTTTTTTTATTTTTAATATTTATAAATTTTGTAAATGTCATTTAAGCATAATGTACGTGATTGACTGTCTGACTGGGTGCTGTTGTTGTTGTTGCTACTGTTGTTATTGCTCTGTATAATAAACGGAAAATATGTTGTACAAAATTGTTGATATTGTTTT